GAGAAGCCTTCAAGACATCCTTGTGTCTTACAATCAGATTCTGCCCCACCCACATTTAAACTTCTTTCACGGATCTCCATTATATGGGATCCAGCCCCAGCGTTCCAGGGGTCCCCAAAGGTGTGGACAGTATCGGCAAAGAATGAAGGACACGGAGACAGCGTTCAGAGCATCAGGACAATCATCTTCTCTTCTTTATTGCCTTGTTACAACTGTATTTATACTATTTGATCTTATTGCTGGTTAAACAACATGACATCATGTTTTGTCCCGGTTTCTGTTTTGGCCTTTCACAGTTAATGAATATACCTTCTTATCTGACCTTTGCTAAAGAATTTACATCTGTTTAGGTATGTTAATTTTTAGTCTTACCTATTGTTTATATTTCTATAGGCTATTCTACAGGTTAATCTCTAGTTTGTTATTTATATTCTGAAGTTACTATTTTATTGCTCTACCATATAGCTAAAAGGAGAATAACTAAGCTAGTCTTTCTTATGTGAAGGTTATGCAAGTCCTAAGTAAGGATTATGTAGCTTGCGCGTGATTGTTTTTTGGCTATGGTGATCGACCGCCTGTCTGGCACCTAGCCTTAGTCTTTCTGTTTACATTCCCTGCAGCAGTCCGTCCTCATTGTAATATTCTGTGTATAAGGATTCAGGTGTAGATTGAAATAATCTCTTTCCTAGACTGCTCTTTCCTTGTGGGGATTCCCAGAGTTTTCCATTAATATTAACATCCCCCAGTAATACATTCCTTAGGGGGAACTCACTGGTGGACTCCCTGTGGATTGCCCTGTGCCATCGAATCAGCAGGGGCCTGGACCAAGGCCTTTTCCCCGGTGGGGAACTTCCTGTGGTAGAGGGCCTAACAAGTCCTAAACTTTCTGCTGACAGTCTGAGTTCCTCATAAGCGGCACATGATATTTTTGCAATGCTTGGGGCTTTTACTGAATCATTGTCTTTTCCAGTCCCATCTGACTCCCCTTGCTAGGGAAAAGTTTTCAGCTAGGGCAATGCCCTTTTCTGGTGTAGTGACTCGGGTAAGGACACAGAGAGTCAGGAAGGGGAAGAAGCATGGGAAGAGGGATATGCCATACACCAAGTCCCATGGAGCATTAGCTGTGCAAATGTCTCCTCCTTGAAGGACTGTGTCAAGCAGCAAGGATGGAACAGCTTCTGGCAATATGGCCCCATCAATTGTTTGTCTCTGTTCCCCAAAATTGAAGCTATAGGGTCTTTGTTTTCTAGTTGTTTGCACTGGTACAAAGAAAAACAGTATCTGTGTTTGAGCTTATATTTAATGACCTTGCTAAATTCACTTGTTAATTCTAACAACTTATCTGTAGATCCTTTAAGATTTTGTGTGTATACTTGTCTGCAGAGATTGAGTTTCCTTTCCAGTCATTACTTCTTTTATTTTTCTTGCTTTATTTCACTAATTCCTCCAGTACAATGCTGAATAGAAGTAGGCATCCTTGTTTCATTTCTAATCTCAGGAGGAAAGTTTTTGTCATGTCACCGTTAAATTTTGCTTTTTAAAATTTTTTTAAAATGTTTTTATTGATTTTTAGAGAGGAAGGGAGAGGGAAACATTGATGAGAAACATCAACATTGATCAGCTGTCTCCTGAACACCCCCTGCTGGGGATGGAGCTCGCAACCTGGGCATGTGCCCTGACTGAGAATCAAACCAGTGAACTCCTGGTGCATGGGTTGACACTCAATCATTGAACCACACTGGCTGGGCAAATTTTGCTGCCTTTAAAAAAACACACCCTTTACCAAACTAAGGAAGTTCTCTCCTATTTTTAGTTTGCTAAACATTAGTATGAATGCATGTTGAATTATGAATGGGTGTTGAATTTTATGAGATCCCTTTTTCTGTATCTATACAGATCATTATGATTTTTCTCCTTTATTAATTACACTGGCTAAATTATCAATTTTACTGGCATAAAGTTTTTTTCATAATTCCCTTGTCATTTTAATGCTTATAGAATCTGTGGTGAAGTCCATTATATCATTCCTCATTTGAAAATACACGTTTTCCCATTTTGTTTCTTGATAAGTCTAGGATTTCTTACTGTTAACTTTTTGAAAGAACTTTGATTTTTCTCTATTGCTTATCCTCCAGAGGACATGAAAACATGTGATGGAGGTAACTCAGAAGTGTTAAGCATAGATAGTAATATGTGTTAAATATAGTTACCAAGTAGGTTAGTAGCTTGTGGGGTACACTAAAGATAAATAGAATAAATGTAATATGTGATGGAACAAACAAGAGTGTTATTTAAAGATGGAAAGAATGCAAAGACCAAGTCATAAGTTATCCTACCTCTTCAGCCAACAGTTAAATTTTAAATCAGCAACCAATTGGGGACACTCAGTGTTGTTCCACTGAACACAGACAAAACCCATGACTGTGCAAAAGACTAATTGGTGAACTACAGCTTAGGTGAGCAGGGCATTCCATTGGCTCTGGGCTCCTTCAGTTTGTTTGGGCCCCTTGTTCAAACCTCGACTCTGGTACTATTAACCAATGAGGCTGATGCAAGAGAGAGACACAGAGACAAGGTGTATGAACAAAGGATTCTGAAAATGTGGTCTTTCACTCAGTTTTCACTCTATCCTAAGTGTGTTAACCCATCTCTTTTTTTTTTAATGTTTTAGGTTTTTAAATTGTCATATAACGAGAATTTTATTTTGGTCTGTAAGCCTTTCTATTCTGAGACCTCTGGGATATAGCCTGCCTGGTAGTATATTGGAGTTCATCATTGTATCAAGGGAATTTCTCATATTAACAAGTCCCAGAGGATGAGGTGAGAAGGGATCGTAATTTATAGTTTGGAGAGTCTTGCTAAAGAAATAACCAATTATTTCATATTACTGTCTCAAATATTGGGGACCTTGTGCTGATCTGGGTGGTTATAGGTCTAATCAAGGGTCATAGGGCTGATCTTACGGGTCCCAGGGTAGCCTTGAGGATCCTGGGGAACAGGCTGAAGAGGGATCAGAATGAATCTCATTTTAGAGCTTTTAACTAAAGCAATTAAATAACTGGCATAAATAATGGGGAACAGGACTCATGGTTGGCCTACAGGCAAATAGAGCTGATTTGGGGAAGATATCAGGGATACACTTGTGGTGGGGCCTCTCCCTAAGTGAATGTAAATAACAAGAACATGGGAATATGGAAGGAACATTCATTAAGCAGTATCTCCTGAGTGCAGGCTGTTTCCTCCTGTCACTGTGGAGTCCTTGAGGGCAGGTCTTTTTATAGAAACCCCAGTGACCATCTCCTGCCTCCTCCACTCTTAGTTCTCATCTTCTCATCAACACAAGATCCTTTATTACTGAGACCCCGAGACCTCACAGACTCAACTCCACAGATCCTTGTTACTTACCACACTGAGCGCAATTCACTCCCCGGTTCCCACAACAGCTCAGTTTCTCTTTACACTCACATTCTGCCACATTTTGCCATTTGCCTGATTGCTCTTTACTCTGCACCAATCACCCCCATTCACCACTATCATTTCCACGGTGCCTCATATCACTTGCCAATCATTCTGTCCACATCTCCAACATCCACTCTTTATGCCCACTCAAACTCTACTCACTCCCACTCTCCCAGCATTATTCATATTTAAATTTTCTCCAAGAACTCACGCCATTGAATATTCCCATTTCTCCATAGTCTTCCAGATTCACTCCCACCCTGCCCCTCAATACTCTATTCCCCCATACTTGGTCCTTCATTACTCCCGTCTCTCTCTTCCCCTAATTCCAGTCCATGTATCCACGTCCTGCTGTTTACCCATCACTCCCCTCACCCATTCACCTACATGTGGCCCATCAGGTTGCCATTTGTGTCCCAGGAAGGAGTCCAAGATTAACCTGAAATGGCAAGATCTGACTTGCCCCACCCCACTTCAGAATGACCTTTGATGGCCCCGAAACTCCAGGAATATTCTTTATCAGCAGAAAAATGAAATGTTTCATTTCTAGTGCCCTTGGGCATTCTCTCAGCAGACTGCACAAGGAACAAGAAAGTCAGCCCCATATTTCCCCTCAAGCTTTCTCCTCCCTGGAAAGGCACTAAATAGTGAGGGGCAAAAGTAGCTTTACACTTGTGAGTACACAAAAGTTTATTCTTGTATTATTATTATTGTAATTTTCATACAAACAACTGTAAACCTACTTTTGCGCCACCCTGTACAACATGTCTGACTTAACATAGCTCATGAAAAGGCAAACCTGTGGCTTATTTATTTACAGAATAACTTAGGGAATAAACAAAGCTCAGGAGGGCACAGTCAGGGTTTCAGGTTTGACTCACCCATCTGTTTTGTTAAATCCAAACACTGACCAGACCCAGGTTTTACATAGCTTGGGTTGCCCAATTCCACCTCAGATGCAGGAGGACCACAAAGATGGTCACTCATGCAGTGAGACTTCTTATTCTGGAGCAGATGTGCTGCCATGTAGTCTTGGCCATGACCATTCAGTCCATGGCTCTCAATCTGTCCCTCACTTTGGAGAATGTCACCAGCAGTAGTGTGACCTGAGAGGGTGAGTTACTCAACTTCTCTGAGGATTTATGCTTTATATCTCTTGTTAGTAGCATGCACATGCGCACGCACTCACAGACACACATGAAGTAATTTAAGTCATTTTGTTACGGTATAGGAAGCCACTGGCAGGCTTCAGTACACGGTATTTTCACAAATATAACTGTATACTGAACAAGAAATGTGTGCCAGTTTCAATTATTTTAGGTTTACATAATGGGGTCCCAGCTGACCTGAGAATCACTTTGACACCCCCAGGAAAGTAATACCTGTGTGCTTTTGGAACTGATTGGATATCTATTGTTCTATCTGATCATTACATTTTTTCACTCTAAAAAATTAAAACTCCATATTGAGCATATCTCTATTAAATGTTATGAAATCCTGTATCTAGAGTATGACTTCATTATAATAGTAATAGAACAAACTATGCTTTTAAAGTTTTATTCACTTATTGATAAGGTAGTACATCCACATAGTACAATTTTCAAAAGTTACGAAAGAATATACAGTTGTCTCCCTCCCAATTCCATAACCCCAGCTACCCACTTCCCCTTCTCTTTCCCAGAGGTAACCATGGTTCCCAGCTTCTTGTGTATTTTTCCAGAGACAGTTTACACATATACACTAAATTATGTACTTACCACATGTTCTCTTTTTTATATACAAGTTGTAGCACATTATACTCACTATCTTGCACCTTGTTTTTTCCACCTAACTATGTATGTTGGAGGTCATCCCACATCACTACATAAATGGTGTCCAAGTTCTCTTTATACATTTTAGTCAACCTAGGAGTTTGCTCTATCAGTGTACCAGGATTTCAGGAACCAGACCCCTGGTGGTGTCATTTTGACAGCTTCCAACCTTTTGTTTTCAAAACACTGCATCAATGAATACCTCTGTGGGTTCATCATTTTATACATGCATGAGTATATGCATTCCTAGGAGTGGAATGGCTGGAAAAGCCATGTACGTTTGTGGTTTTGGTTACTTTGGAATCACTCTTTAAATAAGAGTTTTTCCTGGACTTGATGTTTGCTGGCAGTTCATGTTGGGGGGAAAAACCAGGGCCACATTTAAGGCTGATCAGAGGTTCTCTTACAACTGGGATTTTTTTTCCATTTGATAGTTCATTCAGACTTGACTTCTCTGGAGTCAGTAAATAGGGCAGCTGTAGGGCTCATCACAAGGAACACTCCCTTCTCTCACCCCAGCCGCCGCCAATTGCTCCTTTAATTAGTATAGTTTTGGCTAAATATGGTTTATCTGAGCAAGTCCTTGCCAAATGAGTCTAGGAAACATCCTACCTCCCACCTACCCATGCCATGGGTTACTGATGTTGTGTTTGTATATGGTGTTGCACTCAGGGTATATCCAAAACCTCAGCTAAGAGTCGAGTGCTGTCTCACACCTGCAGCCTTGAGCATTCTCTCTCCTGTGAGATCTCCCACATCTGCCTATGGCAGCCCTCTCATCAGGGTTTCAGCTGTCTCCTAATTTTGTCAGATACAGAGATTACATTTCTGCTTCATCTCCCTGTAGCTTTTGGGTAAAGACTTAAATGAAAAGAAAAAAGGCTGACTTTATCTCCTACATTTGAACCAGAAGTCAGAGCATACTTTAAAAATGTTAACAAAACTTTCCTTCAGGGAACATAACAGACACTATTGATTTACTCTCTAATGTGCAATGAGCTTTGGCTTCCGGGTGTGGCCTTTCCCATGGGCTTTCTTTCCTGTATGTGTTCTCTGATGTACAATAAGGTTTGATTTTTGAGTAAAGGCTTTCCCACATTCTGTACACTTATAGGGTTTCTCTCCAGTATGAGTTCTTTGGTGTACAGTGAAGGTTGATTTTTCTCTAAAGGCTTTGCCACACTCAGTGCATGCATAGGGTTTCTCTCCTGTGTGTGTTCGCTGATGTATTATGAGCTGTGACTTCTGGCTAAAAGCTTTCCAACATACAGGACATTCATAGGGTTTCTCTCCTGTGTGAATTCTCTGATGTATAATGAGCTTTGACTTTTCTCTGAACGCTTTGCCACATTCATTACACTTATAGGGTTTTTCTTCTGTATGAGTTCTTTGATGTATAATGAGATATGATTTCTGAGAAAATGCTTTTTCACATTCATTGCATTCATAGGGCTTCTCTCCTGTATGACCTCTCTGGTGTAACATGAGATAGGATTTCTGAGAGAATGCTTTCTCACATTCATTACATTCAAAGGGTTTCTCTCCGGAATGAGTTCTCTGATGTACACCAAGATTTGACTTTTGGGTGAAGGTTTTCCCACACACATCACATTCATAGGGTTTCTCTCCTGTGTGAGTTCTCTGATGCACAATGAGAGTTGACTTCTCATTAAAAGACTTCCCACATTCAGTACATTTATGAGGTTTCTCTCCCGTATGAGTCCTCTGATGTATAATGAGAGTTGACTTATCACTGAAAGTTTTCTTACACTCATTACATTCATGGGGTTTCTTTCCTGTATGAGTACTATGGTGTATAATTAGATCAAGCTTCTGTATGAAAGATTCCCCACATTTAGTGCATTCATAAGTTTTCTCTCCTGTGTGGGTTTTCTGGTGGACGATGAGGTTTGACTTCTGAGTGAAGGCTTTTCCACATTCATTACATTCATAAGGTTTCTCTCCTGTATGTGTCCTGTAATGTATGATGACAGTTGACTTTTCTCTGAAGGCTTTTCCACATTCTGGACACTCAAAGGGCCGCTCTCCTGTATGAGTTCTCAGGTGTATAATGAGCTGAGATTTTTGGCTAAAGGCTTTTCCACATTCAGTACATCCAAAAGGTTTCTCTCCTGTATGAGTTCTCCAATGTACAATGAGGTGGGACTTCTTGCTGAAGGTTTTCTTACATGCAGTACACTCAAAGGGTTTCTCTCCATTTTTAATTCTCTGATGTAGACTAAGACCTTTCTTTCGCCTTAGGTTCTTCCCACACTCTTTATATCCATAGGTTTTCACTCCAGGAGTTGTTTTCTCATATTCAGTGTGGAATAATAATTTTGCACATCCATTATCATGTTTCTTTCCTACAGAGCTTCTACTAAATAAATCTAAATTATCTACCATATTATTTCCAAATGACTCATGTTTATAGGGTCTTTGTATTGAAGCAACTAGGTTTGTACTCATATAAAGTGTGCTTCCAAATTTATTATAGTTATGGTCACTCTTGATGAGAATTGTTTTTTTGTCAGGGAATCCAACTTGCATCAACAAACATTTATCTTCGTCATCCTGGTGCTGCCTCTCAATCTGTTCATCAACTTGGCAGGTTTCTAGAAAGAAGTAGAATAAACCATTTTTATACTTTGATACTATGGAATGGACCTTCTTTAGAAATGTCCTGCCATATGAAAGCTGACACTATTATCTCATTTTTATCAGAGTTCTTGGAGATAGAAACTTGACCACCAAATCCTATTCTTTTGCTAAACTACCACCTGCTAGCTTTTTTATTACCAAGAACAATCTTACCCTGACATCTAATTCTTTATCTCTACCTTTAAATTATCTCTTATTTCCATCAACTCTGTTGACATCACCCTTAATTTTCATTTACCATATAAACTCTTAACTGTGCCTGACTTACACTATTTACAACAATCCCAATTTCATTCTCAGTAAATGAAAGATTTAGAATAATTAGCCTTAAAAAAACAAGAAAAACCTAAAGATCTCTGCCTAATCTGAATTCACCTTTGTATCTATCTAAGCTTACACTCAGTTCTTCACTACCTTCTGCTCCTGTCTATACTATTTCCACTAAAAGCTATGTCTATTAACTCCAAACCCTTCCTCATGTTCCATCACCCACAGAGCCTGGTCCTCCATATTTTTCTATATTCAGAATCTAGATGACTTTCAAGAAGTTGTCTTTTCAAAACTTACCTCTATAAGTAATTTTTATTAACTTCTAAAGCAGTTGTTTATCTGTACCACTCATTCAGACAGCTAAAATTGCAAAATCCTTGCCTTTAATATACATTTCATTAATCACAAGATGAATATCATTCCACATTTTAACATTTCTGAATCCAAATGTACCTTACAATCAATGACATGTCAAAAATTAACAATGGACAGGTGGGAGGTGGGTGGAGGGGGGTAAGGGAGGGAAATAGGGGACATCTGTAATACTCTCAACAGTAAAAAAATTGGTGGGAATTTTTCCTTCACAGTGGTGTGTCTTAAAATCCAATGGTATCTTAAAGTCAATAAAACATGGTAAATACTTTTTGCAGATATACTTAATTTTTATCATCTTTGAAGTTTACCTCTCTTTTCCTAAAATTTTATATGAAAATTTTCAAATATGCAGAAGTTGAAAGAAGAGTAACAGTAACTAAACTACTCATATTACCACTTACACTTAATAAGCATAAAATTTATGATAATACTGAGTTTTAAAATGGATCATGCAGCTGTGGTTTCTCTTCCTGTGACATCCTTTCCTTGGATAACAAAGCATTAGTTCTTAACTAGGAGCGAACATTAGAGTCATAGAAAAAGCTTTTACAAAATACATTTGATGGGACCCAACCTCCACCAAGGATCTACTAAATCTGAACCTCCTTAGGTGGTAAGCAGCAGGATAGCACATGTGGCTAGGGTCATGGGCTTCCTATCCCAGGATCAAATCCTGCCTTAGCCTTTCACTTGCTCTGTGAACTTAAGCAAGTTATCTAATCTATTTGTATATTACTTTCTCATGTAGAAACAGGAATTATAACAGTAACCATCCAAATGTTTATTGAAAGGATTAAATTACTTTTAACAGAGTATGCATAGCACACAGGAAATGCTTTCAAATGTTTACTAGAACAATGACTCTATACTACTATTACTACTATTAAGAGCCACTATGTTACTACTAAAAATAAGAAATATCTCAATATATTTAACATGTTCTTGAATACCAAGTGAAAACAAGGTTAATAAAACTATACATAGTAGGCTAACATTTTTCTAAAGAAGGAAAAATATATAAATATGTATTTATATAGGCTCATGTTATTAAAAAAATGGAAGGATAAACTTTTAAATTTTAATAAATGGTTACCTCTGATGGTAGTGTTAACCTATAGGGAGAAGGAAAGAAGAGAGTGGGATAGAAAGGAAAAGAAGCTGGACTTCTTGGAATATACCTGTTTTCTAGATTTTACTTTGGAATCAAGCAAATATTTGAGTTAAAAACAAACAACAGCCCAGCTGGCGTTGCTCAGTGGTTGAGCATTAACCTAGGATCCAGGATATCGTGGTTCGATTCCTGGTCAGGGCACATGCCCAGGTTGTGGGCTCAACCCCCAATGGGGGCATGCAGGAGGCAGTCGATCAATGATTCTCTCATCACTGATGTTTCTTTCTCTCTCTCCTTCTCCCTTCCTCTCTCTGAAATCGATAAAGATTAAAAAAAGAAACAACAGACCCCAAAAGGAGTCACCTTTGTTAAACCCCACCAAAGCTTAGTAACTGCAGTTTCAGTCTCTCCCAGGAGTGGAATTTTAAAACCACTCAAGTGTTTCCAGATCAACACTAAAGAGGTAATCTGCCTGTTCAGATTCCCTCCCTTCCCCTAAGGGCCTAAGGGAAGGTGACCTTGCCTGAAATAATAACTCTTTTAAACCTCCTTGTTCCACTTTCCTTCTGCCTATAGAAACCTTCCATGTTGTACAGCTCCTTGGAGCTCCCTTCTATTTGCTAGATGTAATGCTCCCTGATTCATGAGTTGTTTAATACTGCCAATTATACTTTCAAAGTTACTTGGTTGAATTTTTGTTCTTTAACATTATATAATCAGACAGCAAAATTCAATGTTAAAGGATTCCCTAAAAATAAATATCCTCTCATCTATATTTCTGAATGATCATGGTGAAAAGTCTTGATTCTCAATAGCACCAACATGATTACTTCAACCAAATTCAACCTTCTAACAGAGTCAGCAGTCTCAGAATAATATTACCACTACTGTAAAAAGTAATATAAAGGGAGTCACTTTAACATGGAGTAGGAGTTGCCATTCTAGAGGAACTGCATTGCACATGCTACTCCTCAAACCTTTGGATGTTAAAAGCAGGGCAAAGAAATCTTTGGACTAGGCCTAAGGCAACATTGTATCTCAAACAACTGTTTAGAAAGATAAGAAGAAAGCAAATATTAAGACTACAGGACTGATAACTACTACCAAACTAGTGGACTAAAAATTAAAAACATTGCTTAGAATTAGCATCACTATGTTACCTTACCTGCATCTATAGAAATGCCTTCCTTCTATTGACATAATTGTTTCCCTTCCCTTTCTCATTAATAATCCTTGCCTTTGTCTCCTAATCAGAACACTATTTGGGTTGCTGCTTGAATCAGTACTTTCCAAATAATTACTCTTTCTTTTTAATAACTTTAAAATTAATTTTTCCATTACAGTTTCCATTCAATGTTACTTTGTATTAGTTTCAGGTGTACAGGTTATTGGTTAGACAATCATATACTTTATAAAGTGTTTCCCCTGATATTTGCAGTACCCATCAGGCACTATCCATAGATATTGCAATATTATTGACTATATTTCTTATGCTGAACTTTACATCGCCACGACTATTTGGTAGCTACCAATTTGTAGTGAATAGCTATTCTTTTTTTATCTCAAATAAATGCTCGTTGCCTCTCACTTTGGCCTTCTATTTTTAGGTTAACATAATCATCATATCTAATATTAATAAATTAAAAATTTTTAAGTCTAAAATTTGGTTTGGAAATATCAATCTGAATATATGATGTATTTTCTCTTTAAAAATTTTTTTTTTTATCCAAAGAGGCCCACACAGACACATCATAATTAAAATGCCATGAATTCAAGACAGAGAGAATCTTAAAGGAAGCTAGAGAAAAGCAATCTGTTACCTACAAAGGAGCCCCCATAAGGCTGCCAGCTGACTTCTCATCAGAAACTCTACAGGCCAGAAGGGAATGGCATGAAGTATTTAAGGTAATGCAAAACAAGGAACTGATACCAAAACTATTCTATCCAGCAAGACTATCATTCAAGAGAGACGGTGAAATAAAGAGCTTCCCAAGCAAAAAAAAAAAAAAAGGCTAAAGGAGTTTATCATTACAAACCCAGTATTACAAGAAATGTTAAAGGGACTGCTATAATTAGAAGTAGAAATAGAGAGAATGAGAAACATAGGCATAAAGAAATAAAATAGCAGTAGATAAGTATATTTCAATAATAACCTTAAATGTAAATGGATTAAATGGCCCAATATAAAGATATAGGGTAGCTGAATGGATATGAAAACATGACCCAAATATATGCTCTCTAAAGAGACTCACCTCAGAACAAAAGACTCACACAGGATGAGAGTGAAGGGATGGAAAAAAATTTTACCATGAAAATGAAAAAAAAAAGCTGGGGTAGCAATACTCATATAAGACAAAATAGACTTCAAAATGAAGACCATAACGAGAGACAAGAAAGGTTATTACATAATACAAAAGAGATTGATCCAACAAGAGGATGTAACCCTGATAAACATATATGCACCCAATATAGGAGCACCTAAATTTATTTTAAAAACTTCTAGAGAACTTTAAGGGAGAGACTGACAGCAATACAGTAATACTAGAGGACTTTAACACTCCACTGACTTCAATGGATAGGTCTTCCAGACAAAAACAACAACAAGGAAACAGTGGCCCTAAATGACACACTAGATCAGATGGATTTAATTGGCATTTCCAGAACATTCTACCCCAAAGCTGCAGAACATACATTCTTCTCAAGTGCACCGGGGACATTCTCAAAGACAGACCACATGTTAGGACAAAAAACAAGTCTCTACAAGTTCTAGAAGATTAAAATCATATCAAGCATATTCTTGGACCACAATGGGATGAAATTAGAAATAAATCACAATAAAAACACTAAAAAACATTCAAACACATGGAGGCTAGAAAGTATGTTATTAAACAATGAATGGGTTACCAAAGAGATCAAGAAAGAAATCAAAAATTTCCGGGGAACAAATGAAAATGAACACACAACAACTCCAAATCTATGGGACACAACGAAAGCAGTCTTGAGAGGGAAGTTCATAGTGCTATAAGCCTACCTCAAAAAACAAGAAAAACTTCTAATAGACTCCCTAACCCTACAACTTAAAAAGTTAGAAAGAGAACAAGAAAAGCCCAGAGTAAGTAGAAGTAAGGAAATAAAAAATATCAGAGTAGAAATAAATGACATAGAGGCTAAAAAAACAATACAAAAGATCAGTGAAAC